ATTCAAGAATAAATCCCACTGGGCCATGATATATAATTCTTTTAAAATACCATTGAATTTGGTTTGCTATTACTTTGTTGAAGACTTCTGCATCAATTTTCATAAGAGATACTAGTCTGTAGTCTTATTTTCATGTAGTGTATTTTTTTGGCTTTGGTATCAGGATAATTACAGTCTCGTTGAAGAGTTGGGAAGTATTCTGTCTTTTTCAATTTTTTGGAAAAGTTGAAGAAAATAATGGTAATTGTTTTTCTTTAAATGTTTGGTAGAATTCACCAGTGAAGCCATCAGGTCCAAGGCTTTTCTTTCTTGGGAGATTTTTGGTTACTGATTCAATCTTCTCACTAGTAGCTGGTCTGCTCAGATTTTGTGTTTCTTCATGATTTAGTCTTGGTAGGTTTTGTGTTTCTAAGACTTCGTCTATTTCATTTAGGTTATTTAATTTGTTGGCAGACAATTGTTCATTGTACTCTCTTACAAACCTTTTTATGTCTGTAGAATTAGTAGTAATGTCCTCATTTTAATTTCTGATTTTAGCAATTTAAATTTTTTCTAATTTTTTCTTAGTCCGTCTAGTTAAAGGTTTATCAATTTTGTTGATCTTTTTAAGAACTAACTTGACTTTATTAATTTTCTCTATTGTTTTTCCATTTCTTATTTCATTTATCTCCACTCTAATAATTATTTTCTTCTTTTTTATAAATTTGGATTTTGTTTGTTCTTCTTTTTTCTAGTTCCTTACCCTGTAAAGTTCATTGTTTTTAAGATCTTACTTTTTTTTTCATGTAAGCATTTATCACTAAAAATTTCTCCCTTAGCACTGTTTTCACTATGTCCCATAAGTTTTGGCATTTTGTGGTTTTGTTTTCATTTATCTTAAGTATTTTCTAATTTACTTTGTGATTTCTTCTTTGATCTATTGGTGGTTTAAGAGTGTGTTGCTGAATTTCCACAAATTTGTAAATTTTTCAGTTTTATTTCTGTTACTGATTTCTAACTTCTCACTGTGGTCAGAGAAGATACGTTGTATGATATCTATCTTTTAAAACCCATTGAGATTTAATTTGTGGCTTAACATACACTTTATATTAGAAAATGTCCCATTTGCACTTGAGAAGAATGCATATGCTATTGTTGTATAGAATTGTTCTGTTAGATCTAGTTGGTTAATTGTGTTGTTTAAGTCCTCTATTTCCTACTTATCTTCTGTCTGGTTGTTCCATCCATTATTGAGAGTAGGGTATTGAAGTCTTCAACTATTATTGTGAAACTTTCCATTTCTTCCTTCGGTTGTCAGTTTTTGCTTCATATATATTGATTGTCATTAAGGTGTAAATTCTATAATTGTTATATCTTCTTGCTGCGTTGAAACTTTTATTAATATATAATATCCTTCTTTGTCTCATAGCTTTTTGATTTAAAGTCTATTTTTTTTCTGATATTAGTATAGCTACTCCTGCTCTTTTTTTGTTACTATTATACGAAATATCTTTTCCCATTCTTTCACTTTTAATATAATTTTTCCATGTTGACTTTGACTTTCTAAATCTGTTATTAATTATGATGGTTATACAGTTGACTCTTCTGCAGTTGATTCTTTTGAGTTTTCAGGGCAGTGATATTATCAACTAAAAGTATTACATGTTGCAGACATGCTGGGTATGAGTGTCTTGTTCTGACTTTAAAAGCTCCAGTGTTTCACATTAAGCATGATATTGCTGGTTGCTTTCCAGGTAGATAATTGCGTTTGCCTGTGCATAAGACACAGCGAGGCTGTGAGGGTGCCTTCGGTGAACCATTCTTTTCACCGTTTCTTATCATTCCCTTCTTCAGCACTGACAGATTCGACTTTATTTTCTTACATGTGAAATACGTGTTAAACACATTTGTCTATCCTGGTAAGAGGACCGAAATGTTTTATTTCTTAAACCTTTAAGTCTCACTGAGAATTTTCCAATAAGCTGTCAAACTTCAATTCGCCCATCTATCTTTTTTATCTCATTTCACATGTGCTTGCATCTGCTGCATGATTTTATTTTAGTTTCATTATTAATCTTCTGCTGTTGTCTGCAATTTGATTTTAAGCAGAGTACTAAAAGAAGCAGGAAACTATTTAGAAGATGCATAGTCCTTGTATGCACTGAACAGCACCTATTACAACTTCTGTTGGGACAGTCTCATGAAATAAATTTATAATTGGTATTCTCTGATGAGTCCTCAGAAATCAGATTCCTCAGAAATATAAGGCACTTCGTTTAATATCATGGATATCTAATGACAAAATGTCAAACATGGTGGTAGTCCTATTTCTAAGATGACTGAAAAAGCACTCTAATTTAACTCGGTGGATTTCGGTCTGAGATAGTTTATTAATGACAGACAGGGAAGCATGCTAAGAAGAGGATATCCTCGAAATTCAGGCCTGTCCTGGGACATAGTCCATGTGTGTCTAGAGCGGGTTAGGGAAGGAATAGGGTAATGGAGAGAAGGAAATGACAATAGGAAATCAAAATTTAGGTCTGGGACTTGAAAGCAGGAAGATAAAGATGAGGAGAACCTAAATTGCTCTTATCTGTGATTTTTATCTCCCTAATACCACTGAGCAAGTAATCACTTCCTAACTTCTTAGTTGGTCAAAAAGCTTTTCTAATTTATGCAATGATCTCGGAAATAGAACAATTTAACAATGAAATAAATTTATCTCTTCTAGCCACAGAAGCCTAGTTACGTGATTAAGTCACATTTTAAAATATATTTGCTGATTCTCTCTCTCATTATTTTCATTCTTTTGTAGCTTTCACTCTGTCCTAATTTTCTTGCAAGTTCTCTTTTTTCTAAAGAAGTTATTCACTTAAGCTCACATTCTAAATAACTTTAAATCAATAATCTAAAAGTAAAATAAACTTCACTTTTTTTGCTGACAACTTTAATAAATGAATATAGTATATACATTCTCAAAATTTTAAAAATAATATATTTTCTGAGAATTCGAATAAATCAAAATTGACCTGAAGCTGTACCGGAAGCAACCAATGACTGTGACTTTATTTAGGTATATCTTTGTTCTGTTTTGAAAACTTGTTTTTTAGTAGTTCTATCATATTCGTTTAGTACAGACATTGAAACTGAGAAAAATTCTGACTAAAATAACTGCCTGGTCATGATTAAGTTGAAATAGAAAAAAAAAAAAAAAAGCAGGATTGGTTAGAAGAAAAAAGAAACTGACTTAAACTCAGCATAACATTTTAGATGATATATTTTTAAATTATTATAAAATTTAAAATTTATGTTAAAATATACATTTTCACACTCATAACTGAAAATAGAGGGATTGGAGAAGCATGCAGAATGGGAGAAAAGTAGGGAACATCCTTAGTCTGATAGAGAAATGCTGCCTGAGTAATTAGGCCTTTCTTAGGAGGAGCTGTGCTTTGGCCAATGTTTGTTTTACCCATCCCTTTGGCTTCTTTCTGCCCTTGGCACCTGGTATCCTTATCTGACCTCTTGATTTCCAAAGTCCCTACTTTGATACATCAGAGCACTATATTATTCATATTTTCTCTATTTCTTACTATTGAAATTTGGCCACCTATACAAATTTCTCAGGGTTCTGGTTCTTGATTAGTTGAAAACAGATGGTGTCTGAGTCAGGATGGGGCTCACTGAAAGAGATTTAGCATAGGCTATGGTAAGTAAAATGGTAAGGAAAATCTTACAGAATTAAAACATAGGCCTAATGGCTTCGTGTTTCTGCCTCTATTTTTTTTCTCTGTTCCCTGCTTCCTTTTGCAGCCTCTGCTAATCTCTCATGAGAGCATCCAGTTGTCTTTCTTTGTCTTTATCCTTGCCTCTCCCATTATCAATTGGCTTCATCACTGTTGAATTTATCAAGAAAGCACCTTGATTGGCCCCACTCATTTTTTCATGGTGGGCAATTGGTTGCTAGCCGGTCATAGTTTCCCTCCCTGAGCTGCCCACTCTTCTTCCCTTCAAAGGCACCTGTGGCTGATAGGAACCCACGAGATCGGGGGCTCTTGGTGGGGCAGGATTTCCTTTGAAGAGTCTGTGGGCACGAAAGCAATGCTTGTATCGGAAACAGATGTTTTGGGACACTTGGGAGTCTTGAAGCTCTTCAGACTCCGGGGCTGCCCTGCTGATTGGTGAGTTTTGCAGCACATCTTGTTTCCTTTAGCTAATCCAGTGGGTTTGGGAGACACGCAGAGAATAAAAAGTCTCAGAATGCTTTCCTTAGCATTAGTAGCACGCTGTAAATTTGAAATTACCCCCCCATCTGAAATGGTGATTATATTCTGCCTAGATACCAAGACATTTTCGCTTCTTGATAAGGTGTAGGTGAACACTGACCAAAACGCATGCCTCTTAGTGTGTTTTCTTGATTACATAACTTATCTAAAAGATAGGTCAGGTCTGGCGAGGTCTCCCTAACACATTTTTCTCTCGGTATTGGCCGCTGGAAGTCCTGCTTGCATGTGTGTTGATGTGAGTGGCCTTGGGAAGAAAGAAATCCCATCCCCTGCTTAAGGAGCTCTGAGAGAATAAACAAGGATAAGCGTAAGGAGGTCAGTTGTCTCTGGGTGCAGAGCTTCATCTGAAAAGCCCCCAAGCAGCCGATTACTCCAGGTTACCTGGACCTAGTAGCTTTTGCTGTCGGCCTGCATCCCTCTAGCGCGCGCGCACCCCTCCTCCCACACACACTGCCTTTCTACTCATAAAATTTATTATCCATTGTCAAATTTTACTTTCTTGTGTACTACTAGCTGCACACGTGAATTTTCTGCATGTGGAACCAGCCATCGTCTCTCCTTTTCCCCATCTGTAACATCATTCAAACAGGCGTTCAGACAATGTGACAACGTCTGAATAAGTTTTAGGGTGTTTTGTTTCTTTTGGACAAACATACATTCACCAGCTCAGTCTGTCTCTCTCTATCTCGCTCTCTCCTCTTTCGTACAAATATACTCCGAGTCTCTCAAACGTAAATGTCCCAGGGCTCCCGAGTTCAATGTCACGCTGGGCAGAAGTGGAGCAAGAGTGGAGGGACAGTGTGCCGTGTGCCGGCGGGCGGAGATCTTTTCCGGCCAGCAGAGGGCAGCCGAGGGGAGGCGCTGGCGCGCGAGGGTTGAGCGGAGCCTCGCCTTGCTCG